CCACGTGACGTGCATTATATTTCTTAGATCCTCATCTCTGCAAATAATCTTCCTCCTTGCTGCTATCTATTGTCGAAAGGGTCTTCGTTTGTCCTCCGTGGAATCCAATTTACAGGGAATATTACAGCACACATTTTTTTTTTGGCAAACGTAATTTTCGTAACACATCGATGCTTCATGTCTAAATCATGAGGAATTTATGAATTTAAATCATAATTGCATTTATTAAACAAGAACAGGAGATTCCGGGCTGGGACTCATCTTCAACATGATTCTGAGACTCACTGGCTACAGTATATGAACTTTATACAGCGGTGAATCATACTTCTCGCATTTTCTTATTTCATTTTTGGAAGTGAGTAGTAGGTTGTAACGTAATTCGGGCGATAAATTAAAATGTCGCATAACTCATTAAGAGCAGTGAAACTTTGTTGCTGAAATGCATTAATTCTTACTGTGTTAGAAAAACGTTAGTGGTTTCACAGTATTGAATACTTTATTTCATTTATATATTAACTTTGAATCAGTAAATAATAGAATGGTCGAGGTTTTTTTCATTACAAATAACGATAAGATAATATTACTTAGATTGAGTAGTCTGTGTGCAGGAAAATGAAAGTTTGGACCCCTATGAACACGGTAATGAAGCTTATGGTTACGTAAGGGGTCTAGAAGAACTCTACCGTTTCAACATCATCTTCTTCAGGTCACGAAGCTACGCCAATAAATGAGCTGTTTTGACCTCGAGACTATAACCGTGTGGTCTAGGTCTTCGTCTTCCGACTGTGGTAATCTCTAAGTTGCTTGGGGTGTCTAACGTCTTTCATCCTTTGACATGATATAACGAGTTTCGTTTATACTTCGTTGCTTTTATTAGAGGTTTTCTAAAATATCTTCGTCTTCTCTTGCATGGAGTTAGTATAGTGATAAACTGACAAACTCTGTGGTAGTGCAGTCCGAGACGCACACTATCTTCGATTTCTCGTTCTGTGAAATCACGGAATATAATCCTGGTCGATACGTGGATGCATATCGGCGTTTATCAGAGTCATCCTTTGTAATTCTTGCCATTATGTTTTCGCGTAAAGTTTTCCAACAAATTAACCATGAAGATGGCAACTGAAATGTTTGCCGAAACCGAAAACATTCAACATTTAACGCGGATTATCCTCGAAAGCAGAAATAGTATATTATCCTGTGTAGACAGACGCCATGAGATCGACGAATTTTAATTTCCTTCCGCGTTAAGTCTAGTATAACCCTTTATTTATATTAAATTTAAGATTTTTATCAAAAATGGTTTATCATCTTGGAAATAATTTGCATATAACTTAAATATGAACATAATTCAGACATCCAGCTTTTATTTGAAAATTTTATACGTGATGTATATCTGCCGAAAGGTGTGAGGTCTAACTGTGTAGTACTTGACTATGCTGACATCAGCTGTTCAGATTCGGTATAAAACGGGCTATAAAGGGCCATATGTTCGCATGCTGTTTGCTAAAACGCCCAATTTGGTAGATCGAAGTATCACGTCAGTATTTCCAATACGTTGTCTAACCACAGTTTATATAAACAGTTCTGTAATTGCAGGTGTGCTCTCTGTGCGTGGAACAAGGCTCTAACAATAGGGTACCTTACAACACAATAGACTATAATCATAAGTAAAATTGCAGTTTGAAAGTAAAGATAAAATAAGATGCACGTTATACAAGTCTGGAAGGTTGTACGGGAATACACACATTAGTTCTTTCCCAGTTCTGAGTTAGTGATTAAAGATTACGTCAATTATATAACTTACACAACTTTTGTTTAATATTGTACCGATCACGTGATTTTAATGTCTGCTTCAAGCAACACAAATTAATACCGATATGTAACAAGGCTCGTTAATTTTGTGAGAACACACTGGACGCAGACGCAAAGGGTCGTGGGACGTGATCCTGGTCAGATATTTTGTTTTTATTTCATTCTGCCGCCATGTTATTATTTTACAATATATAAAACATTACTAACAAATTTTTGTATATTCCGAAAATGTATAACTGTACATCATTGTATGGCCGAGTGGAATCAAGTCCGTACCGAATTTCATAAAAATCCGTCGAGCGATACTTGATTTTGACAAATAGACGTGAACAGTAATATATGCATATATATTATGCAGTTAAATTGTAGGAAAAATCACAGTTTGTATGCGTGAGATTGTCGTGCAAAATACTTTTTTTGATGAAGTAATTTGTTACGCCATCATGAGAACTGCCTAAAATATTGAGAAAACTCCATACACGGTACAAACCAGAACAGCACAGTCCGAACCGCGCTCAAGCGCAAACACATGCAGTTTGGACTGAGGTAGTTTTTTTCTACGCAGGCCGAACTTCGTAAGAAACTGAGCGTTTGTAACCGTCTTGAGACCGGATGCTGTTTTGTTAATGTTATACGTCCATGGCTGGATGTTCTGTTCCACATCATCATTCTGCTTTTATCATGTGATTCATTACTAATGATGGGTGTATTTCATTTGCTGCGTTTTGTGTACCATGAGACTGGTAATTTCACACTATAATTGCAGTTCAAACTTAGTAGCAATATGACTGTTTGTATATGTCTACCTGTAGTAGATCCCCACAGGCTTCAGACTTTGTTAAAACAGCCATTATGTCCATTCCAGTGAGAGCTGATCCCGTCGACCAAATATAGCTACTAGGCAGTTTTGATTTTGAGTACAGCAGTACGGAGCAGCTGTTAGTATTTGCATTTACCGTAGTTTTGTGGAGAATATGGCAGTGATAGTGTTGTGGTCGTGAAAATGCATAGAATGACAGAAAATTAAATCATACTGTTAGAACGGACGTAAAGGTTCAAATTTTCGTTTAATGTAATTTTCAATACTTTATAGTGGTGTTATTTAATTAGACGGTGAGCGGTTGAAGTGAATCTTGAGTTGCATGGTGTAATTTTAGTAAAATCTGAGTTAGCTTTTATTTAGGATGTAGAAATCCGGTTCATATGCCTTTTCAAGTTATCTCTTTAAACACACGTGGTAAATCTGTGTATCGCCCGCTTCAACATCCAGTAACTCAGAATTTTGTCCACAGTGTGTATTTGTTTGTATGATCATGAGAATAAACAGCGATCACTTCTTTAACAGCATTAACGAATTGATCTACATATTCTGAAGATGATAAAAATAAATGACACATTTATCCAATTAAAACTTACACTTGAACTTAATCTTAGCATTTAAAATTTTAAAAATTGTTGCTAAAATTAAGTACGATTCTATAAGTCTTCTTTGAAATACAATATAATATAATATCCGTTATATATTTAGTTTAAAATGAACTGACTGATGATTTGTACTTTCGGTTGGTGCACTCCTTGAATTTTATTGTACGTTGTGGTTGTGAGTTATTTGTTTAAAATTGCACATTTTCCTTATAAGAAAGTTTGTTCAATATCGTATATTTTTCTTAAGAAATGCAAACATGTAATGTAATGTCAGGAATTTGTTGAGTTTCCGGGTTTGTTGTTGTTTATGTGAGTGTAAGCTGTATGCTGGAAATGGTAGGACAGGTCAAGTATGTATCCTACACGTAGTAATTTCTTGAGATATTTATATGAGTGCTTTCGTACTAAAGACAGCACATATGAAGAAGAACCATTAGAATTTGTACGCTATGTTTACTCAGTTTGGGCTACTTTAGCTTCGAGTTGAATGAAATGCGAGGATTATTTTACTACTTGTATAAAATAATAACAAAAACTTTTGCAGGCTCTTTATATGTAACGATGAAAAGTTAGTGATGAAGTGAACTGCGTGCCCTGCTCGTAATTCTGTAAGCAACTTGCGGTATGATATGAATGCTGTAATGGGCGACATCAAGATGGAAATTTGTATCAACTGTACTCTTATTTTCTTACTAGATGTCAGCACGTGGAACGAAATTAGAATTGAGCAATCTAATCTTACTTGTCCCGGAAGTTTTTGTGGCCTAGACAGTTTATTTGTTTATGAGTTCCTGAAACGTCGGTCTAGTGTTTGTTTGAGAAATACATTTTAATTCTACGGGTATAAAATCCGTTATACTCTAAGGACATTTTGCACCTGTGCCGCCAGAACTAGAAAACTCGATAAACGACGCAGTGATGGCGCATAGCAGAAATGCCTTTCCGTGCTAGCACAGCCGCCAGTTGTCTTCACTGTAACTTATTTAATTTATACTACATTCCTTATGATGCTCTGAAACTGCGTTCGTTGTAAATTGTGCCTAAATGTACGGATAATATCGCTTCTTCAGATGGAAAAGTCAGTATTTGCCGAAGAATGAGAAATTTTTTACATTCGACGCGGTTTATCCCCGAAAGTCGAATTTGACCTCAAAATGTGTGTGTTTATGACATTTTATGAGCAGCATCTTGAAACTTTGTTTCCAACACTGCATCACATCCTGAAAATCGATGTAATTATTTATATATTTTCGTAACTTCTAACGTTGGAGAATCTATACCATGAAGCTCATCGTCTTCTAATTTCCTCTAATCATAATTAATTTAATTTTTCTCCTGGCTAGTATACTCTTTGGTAATTTTCTTGAGCATTGTTGATTTCCTTTGTGTCTGGTAAGAATCCTGGCTTCTATATGAATACAAGAATGAATAGAACTATGATTGTATATATTCTGACATTTTTGGACACGCTTTTGGTGAGATTACGGACTTAATTATTTCAGGTACTTGGATGTTTCATTTTTTTTAAAACATCCGTTGCTGCGTTACATTACATTAAAAATTTTGATACTGTGTCTCACACTTGAAGGGCCTGTGTGAATTTCAGTTTGCTCACACCTATTAATTAATTTGTACCTAGATCTAGATACTCATGTGTCTTATTAAAATAACACTACATCTTGAAAACTGACTATGATTTCTAACGAAAAGTGCTTATGGACTCCTGTCGTTTAATTAAATCCACGTTATTGACCTCCGCTTACCTGGATAGCTGTCAGCATTAGACCTGAACAATACACAGAGGCCTGTCTCGTAATTTACGGACTGACATGTGTCGTTGCCCTGGCACGCTTCCAGGCAGTCTGTCAGCATCAGTGTTCCTGGAAGTGAGTCCAGTAGATCTGAAGGCGCCGAATATACGAAACCAGTGATTATTTCAAAACCAATCATGTCCGGATCGCATTCTTCTACGCCAGACGGCCCCATGTATCCTAGCGCACTTGGGCCGCTGGGACCGCTAGCTGACGGTCCAGATGGTTGAACAGCTTCTGAGGACGTTTCGACAGGCTCCGATGATGATGAGCTATCATCAGCTCTTACTACTTGATGTCCAATGGCCGCTGCTGCTAATAATAGGCCCAGGAACCGCCATGTGCCCATTGTAGTTCAATTTGTAAGCTTGGTTATCTGGAAACAAGATGGAATAAAAACAGAGTGCAGTCATGCAGAATGTGGTAATTCTGTTCACGCATAATCGTGAACTGATGGAGCAAACAATGGGCAGAGTCCGGTGATCTTATGGCCACTTTATGTCGTTGGCTTTATGCCTTGTTCTTTTATATTTGAACATACACAGAGGGTACTTAACGTCAACCAGATTTATGAATTGCTAAGGAGGTGGACAAGAGAGATTGTGGAATTGTTTTACGTTGCATAGAATACCTTCAATTTAATCTTGAATTAATAAAGACTTAGCGGTCAAATGTTATGGACTTGTAATGAAGACTACACTATGTAATCAGTTTATAATCCAAAGTCTTATGAAAGAGTTAAAGAAAGGGAGACGTGTGTGTTTACATCGTAGCATCTAACAAGGCATATTTATATCGCCTCAGACTTGTATTTCGAAGAGCTGATTAGAGTTTCTGTCGGGATATAACCCATCCTGATGGGTTTATCGTGGTTCTTATCCCATCTAAGCGAAAGTCGGGTGCCATAACCGCCTTCTTCCAAATCATTAGCTATTCATTATTAATACTGATCTTCAGACTCATTACACGCTTTATTAGGTCAGAAGCTGCAACAGCGTCATTAAATGTTGAAAGAGTCAGTTAGTCTTCTCATCACTCGGCGCTATATAATCGCTGTGAATGAAATGGAATCGGTAAATGGCTTAAGAATTAAACGATAATCACGCCGGTGCGGCAAGTCGGGAGACTACCTCGTCAATTTAAAATATTCTACGCTTGTAAGTGAGAATGAAAATCCATGGTGGATATTACTGTCATGGTACTAGACCGGTAACCGCACATATATGTATAAAATAAATGCTAAAAAAGACACTCAGTTACAGTTACAATTTGTATAAACACGGCTTTCTCATCACTCAGTATATTGTCTTGAAAACATTTCATTTGTTTGTGTAGTAATAAAAGGAATGGCTCTAAAACGAATGTGCTAAGTTTTACGTTGCGGTATGTTATTGGCTCTTTGGAATCTGTTAACTCAGCTAAATGCAAAGTACGCCGTACGCATTATGGCTTATGTAATTCAAATGAGAACCTTCCTACCACGTTTTATCGGCGGACACGGTAACAAGCTCTTTGCTGTTTTAACCCTCATATTTTGGTATCTCTAATCCGTTTTATGTGCAATAATTTTACGACCTACTATCAGATATTTATTGCGTCCTGTAGCATGATTCCTTAACGAGATATGTTAAAACGATGTCTTTATTGTAGCCCTGTGTATCGGTATTCTTATTTCGAATAGAGAGAGTTTGTTTTGTTGATCTGTAGTTAAAGCAGCTTTTATTTTATTTATTTTTCCTTGAGGACACTGGACGACCTGGTCCTGTTGTAATTCTTTTAAATGAAAGAATTAACTAAATTAATAAGGAAGGCTCTTAAGGCCACTCTGTCACGTTGCTATAGGGACGTGGAGACTCAAGCACTACAGGAAACATCCCTCCTTCGCTGTCATGTGAACGTGGCAAAGTCTCTGATTTTATTATTGATAACATAAGGAGAGTATCGTCCTACATAAAAACCCCAACACTTGAGATATGTAACGCGTGATTTCCAACAGACTTTCCCTATTTTGTCAAATAATTGAGTTTTGTCCTATTGCTCGGACTTACGCAACATCCCGTATAGTTTACTACTGATCAGGATAATTGACTTAACTAATTTGTCATGTTAACAGCATTGCTATGGAGTTCGTTTAATTTAAGCGGTTGTAATTATAAATTGTGATTTAACCCTTTGAAGCAGATGATTATGTAAATATTTAAGAATTAAGTCCGTACCAAAAAGATCACACAACACTTCTCTATGTATTTGAAGTTACTAGCCCATCTTTCGCTTGGAGGGTCTGTGGAAAACCGCGATGTACGTTAGCAAGGCTGAAATTCGAACTACCTGCATCTCAAATACAAACTTAGAGTTTCAGTTACTTCAGGTACTTGTCGGGTAGATGTGTGCGTTATGTAAATTGCCGTCTCAGTGTTAAGAGTGCAGGAAATAGCCATGAGAATGTGACCTTCTGCTGGCTTCAACTTTGCACCTCTCCTCTTGTAGCCAAGAAATGCCAGTGAGATTAGAAGGATCAAATCATATTCCTGCCCTACAAGGGCTGAAACCGATGGACGAGAATGTAATTATCCACAAGTAATATAGCTCATTACCTGTTGGAGACTGACTTTTAAGATAGATGAACATGCCAGTGATTTCACGACGATTATTTACGGTAATTGTGAATTATTGTTAAGTTCAGAGTGATTACTTCGGTACAGAGTTAGGAACGTGATAGCGTTATTAACCCCCACCCCTCTGTAGTTCTCGAGCCGTGCTTTGCAGTGACGTGTCCGCCTTGAAATGGAGAGACGCCGTTAAGAGTCCCCATCCAGGAACTGGAACCGAGGTCCTTCGGGGTTATCCATAACCCTTTAAACCCCACCCGCTCTAACAATCTATAGTTCTGAATTTTTCCCATGGAGTGTATTTTTGGGTTTCCTATGATTCTTATAGGAAACCGATTATTCCCCTAAACATAATTAATAAATTTATATTTGTAATGATGAAGTTTTGTGTTTTCTTTGCGGTAGGAACTGAATCTTTATATGTTTTTTTTTCTGTATTAAAGTAACAGATATCGAACACAATGTGTAGGTATGTTTGTGGTTTATCACTACACAAAATTTTGTGTTCATTTTCACATTTCGGCTGAACCGTATCCTTCCTGATCAATGTTCTCATTCCTTTAATAAAACCCTGTTAGTATACTGAAGTAAGGCTGAACAGTGAAGCATCTATAACGAGCAGTCTGAGCTACGAATAGCGTTGTTAAATAAACCTCAGATAATAAAAATGAATCAAAGTAGTGAATTATTAAACAGTATCAGTTACATAAAATCCGAAATTGGAAGGGAACATTTTTCATGTACAGTGTGTTTTCTTTGTAGAAATATATTTTTCTTAAAAGATCTGTCTTAATGACGAGTTATCTGAAGACAGTAGAACAAAGTTCCAAAATGTCTTGTAAACCTAGCTCGTATAAAACACGCTTATTTCAGTCAGTGGATGATGTCGAACATAACAGTAGTTTAACACTGACCACGTTTTATCTCGTGCCTCGTCTTCGAACTTATTGCGCCTAGATTGGACGCTCCTGGAAGAACGGGAATTTAATCGAAGACGTTAACACTTCGCCGCTCTTGTACCGAGTGAATATTCAAGTTCCATAACAAGGCACCTTCTGAGTAAAAAACCGAATCTCCGTTGTTATTGCTTTTGTCTTTTCTGCTATCTAATCTACATGCAAATTAAGGACATGGAATCCTATGAACTAGGAAATCATTTATTTACTTAATTGGATTATGAAATTTGTCTTAACAAGTTCTGGGAAGAACTTACGAACTTGTACTTTCCTTTAAGTGCTTCTACCTATGCAGAAAGACCAGCGAAGCTTATAAATCAGTGATTAGTCTATGTAAGTTAGCGATCTATTCTTGTGCAAAATTTCCGGTAGTGTGAATTTCCAATACCAAAATTTTGTCAGACACGATACCAAAGATTCTGTAGTCATCATTTCCGTGATAACTTGAACATAGAACTTAGTGTTTGTTCTTAATCTTTAGATATGCAACTATGCCTGTATTGATTCATGGGTTTTTATTGTCAAACCAACATTTTCGAACTCCTATAACATCTGAGGATCGTAAATAGGAAGATGCTGTTGTTGGCAGGCCTGTTACACGCTTGTAATAAATACTGTTTTATCGTACTGGGGGAAAATCCGGTTTAAATCCGCGGGGAATAATTTATCACGTGTCTCCGGCCTGTACATTAATTCTTCCTTTCATGTAACCACTTCTCCTTTAGAAGTACATCTAAAACCTGCCCACTGGTAGCAGTCTGTAAAAATATAAAATTATCCTGTTACGCAGTGCGTTCACTGATAAAGTTGAACGCAACTCTCATTTCACGGCTCCCGGCAGGAACTACTTTAATATATAGGTAAGTTCATTTCATTGTTTAATGGAACAGTATTTGACTCGAATCGGGAAAACCTCTGAAGCCCTTGGCACTGAGTCACGCAATTTCACCTGGAAGCGGGGAAGTGACAGTCGCGTTCAACTTCATCAGTGAACGCACTGCATTTCAAAATAGACTATATCTTTGGAACTTTCTTCCCAAGTTCCCAGTTCTTTACTCTTTCTTCCTTTAAAGTGAGCCACTAAAGTAAAATTTCTGTAATGCAAGCTGTTAAATGAAACAGAAATCTTAAGCTAATGATCATCATTAGACGGGGTCTACAACGGTAGACGCGTTTGAAGGTGAGTTTGAAGATGGCCATCTTCTAAGATGTTGCGCCGTGCAGTCTGGTAGAAATCGACCGACGTTTCATCTGTGCTTTTCTGAAACGTCGATCAGTTTCTGCCATACTACACGGCACAACGTCCCAGAAGACTTCATTCTTAACAGCCCATCAGGTACTTGAACGTTTGCGCGATAGCTTCAGGCCTCAGCTGGGCTGGACGCTGCTTCAAGACAGCTATATGACATGAAATCCGCTGACGAGGAACGGTTGTTAATCATGAGGAACGTTCTATTCCGGGTTTGAAGCTTTAAAAGCCGTCATTAAACACTCATTACACCGGCATATGTTTATAATGTACAAATTTATAAACTTCCGTATTGTCCTTTGGTTCTTTTTGATCTAATGTGAGAGTCGGAATCATTACACTTGTGTTTGCTGGTACAGGGAAGCCAGGAACTAGTGACGTAGGCGTGCGTCTGAGTGATTGAAGCAGGGATGTGGAAGGAGTTGGAATATGCATTGCAACGTGTAGGAGTGCCGTTTCGTTGTTCTGTTACTATCTTTAATGAAGACATGGTCATACAAAGTAATGTGGGATACCACTAACTGTTATTCAGAAAGAGTGAAATAATTTTTAGATTGCTGTG